TGGTCTCCATCTCATGTTGGGCTCCGAATGCATGCTGATAAGTTAGCCAAAGAATCTGCCTTTAAAGGAGCCGTTGAGTGTAACCTTGGATTGTCAATGAGCAATCTGAGAGCAGCAGTACACCGAGAACTTCAACAAGATCTTGTAGATCTGAGGCAAAGTGAAATTGACACCAGTAATTCCATCTATCATCATACTATCATGCAAGAGGAGCCACACATCTATGGATCATCCAATAAAATCAGCAGACTTCTAGATGTTACTACTGCTCGGCTTAGACTCGGTTACAAGTATCTCTGGGAATTCTCATTATCTGCTGATGTAGACCTGACCAAATGTAAACTGTGTCAACAAAATTATTCGCACACCCTCCGTCACTATGTGATGGAGTGCGAAAAGATACGTGAATTTAGAGACAATTCTATAACCAATGTTCCAACGATGTGTCAATATTTCATTCAAAATGATCTGCTACCAGAAATTTTAGCCAAATATCCCCAGTTTGCTAACTGTAGGTAGTAACTGAGTGATTGTAACCTATCCACCACTGCCCACTGGATGGGGGGCGGTGTGCAGGACAAACATATAAATTGTGACTCTAGCTCTCCACATATGTCAGTTGCTTAATTTAGAACCTGTACTTGAGGTCGATCGCGAACCCATTGTTGATGTGACGACTTATATTGAATTTTGTAACTAGCTCATCAAGATTGTAACTTGCTTAGCTAAATGAATTGTGGGGTTCAGTTCCCGAGCCCATTATGTGCCTCTGTAACCCTTTCCACTACCGCCCACAAGATGGGTATGGGGTGCATAATAAATGAACTAAACTAACTAAACTCTGTAGATTTTCTGCATGCTATACATATTATATATATATATATATATATATATATATATATATATATATATATATATATATATATATGTCGTACCTAATAGCCAGAACGCACTTCTCAGCCTACTATTCAAGGCCCGATTTGCCTAATAAGCCAAGTTTTCATGAATTAATGTTTTTTCGTCTACCTAACCTACCTAACCTAACCTAACCTAGCTTTTTTTGGCTACCTAACCTAACCTTACCTATAAATATAGGTTAGGTTAGGTTAGGTAGGGTTGGTTAGGTTCGGTCATATATCTACGTTAATTTTAACTCCAATAAAAAAAATTGACCTCATACATAGAGAAAAGGGTTGCTTTATCATTTCATAAGAAAAAAATTATAGTAAATATATTAATTCAGGAAAACTTGGCTTATTAGGCAAATCGGGCCTTGAATAGTAGGCTGAGAAGTGAGTTCTGGCTACTAGGTACGACATATATATATATATATATATATATATATATATATATATATATATATATATATATATATATATATATATATATATATATATATATATTCAGCAATTCTAATGTTGTTCTATGTTGTATATAACGTTTCAAATAATAATAATCTATTCATAAAATATGGATACATCATGACTGAACACACAAGAATATGTGAAGGTACACCGGTTACACTCTCTTTGGCTACATATGTGTTTTTTGCATTACAGGTGAGTATTGGCCGAGGACATGACGGACTCCAAAGGTGAAAGCTAAGTGACTTTATTATGGCAGTTGATGTGACAATTGCTACTGTATTATGGTTGCTGATGTGACAAATGTCTACCCCCTTCCCGTGCCCCCGCCCCCCGCCCCTCCTCCTCCCCTCTCCAGGGTCGGTCACGCACCTTTGGACAATATTAGAGGAAGGTGTCCGGGGCTGGTGAGGACGACACCACCTCACCAGGAGGCAGAACAGGCGCCGCCGTAAAACAGGTTCGGTGAGAGAGATCTGTCAACGTTTAGCGACCAATTACGCTGTGATTCATACGCCATACTTGGAGATGTGTTTAACAGCCTTGTTGACCCAGACCACCAAGCATGGTCACACGCGGTGGCTAGGACGGTGGTACTGTGTGAGCCAGCCCAGGGTGGTGGATGGCGGGCCAGTGTGGGCCGTGGGAGGGAGCGGGCCAGTGTGGGCCGTGGGAGGGAGCGGGCCAGTGTGGGCCGTGGGAGGGAGCGGGCCAGTGTGGGCCGTGGGAGGGAGCGGGCCAGTGTGGGCCGTGGGAGGGAGCGGGCCAGTGTGGGCCGTGGGAGGGAGCGGGCCAGTGTGGGCCGTGGGAGGGAGCGGGCCAGTGTGGGCCGTGGGAGGGAGCGGCCCGGCGGGCACCTGTATAGTACTGGTGGCGTCAGGGACACGTGGAAGTATTAGTCATGTGGGGCGGGGAAGGGTGGGGCTTGACAGCGATGGGCGGGGGGGGGGGAGGGGAGGGGGTGGCGTGTGCATGGATGGGTGACCCACCACAGGATGTGGGACATTGTGCCCGCCGACCCTCTTGACCGTGGATCCCCGTTTCTTACCACAATGTCTGCTAGTTGGACTCGGAGTGCCTCACTCACTCTCGGTCTCCGCAGGAGTACTGAGTACTCTGTGGTTGTGGCATGTGTGTACTCGCCTAATTGTGCTTGTGTGGGTTGAGTTTTGGCTCTTTAGTCCCGCCTCTCAACCGTCAATCAACAGGTGTTTACTAGTTGTGTTTTTACGGGGGTTGAGCTTTGCTCTTTCGGCCCGCCTCTCAACTGTCAATCAACTGTTTACTAACTACTTTTTTTTTTTTCCCCACACACACACACACCCCAGGAAGCAGCCCGTGACAGTTGACTAACTTCCAGGTACCTATTTACTGCTAGGTAACAGGGGCATTCAGGGTGAAAGAAACTTTGCCCATTTGTTTCTGCCTCGTGCGGGAATCGAACCCGCGCCACAGAATTACGAATCCTGCGCGCTATCCACCAGGCTCTATGAGGTGTACAGGTTCCTGAGCCTATTGGGCTCTATCATATCTACACTTGAAACTGTGTATTGAGTCAGCCTCCACCACCTCTGATGTATAAACATTAGAGGTCCGTGGTTGTTCAACATCCTCCCAGCAAGCATAAGAAATATTGCCGGAACAACCGTGGACATCTTCAAGAGGAAACTAGATTTATTCCTTCAAGAAGTGCCGGACCAACCGGGCTGTGGTGGGTATGTGGGCCTGCGGGCCGCTCCAAGCAACAGCCTGGTGGACCAAACTCTCACAAGTCAAGCCTGGCCTCGGGCCGGGCTTGGGGAGTAGAACTCCCAGAACCCCATCAACCAGGTATCAACCAGGTATCACGTCACTTCCTAATGCATTCCATTTGTCAACCACTCTGACACTAAAAAAATATTCTTTCTAATACTGTATCTCTTTGTGTGTGTGTGTGTGTGTGTGTTTACTAGTTGTGTTTTTTCGGGGGTTGAGCTTTGCTCTTTCGGCCCGCCTCTCAACTGTCAATCAACTGTTTACTACTTTTTTTTTTTTTTTTTTTTTTTCCCACCCCCCCACACACACACACACACACCCCAGAAAGCAGCCCGTGACAGCTGACTAACTCCCAGGTACCTATTTACTGCTAGGTAACAGGGGCACTTAGGGTGAAAGAAACTTTGCCCATTTGTTTCTGCCTCGTGCGGGAATCGAACCCGCGCCACAGAATTACGAGTCCTGCGCGCTATCCACCAGGCTACGAGGCCCCCTCCTGTGTGTGTGTGTGTGTGTGTGTGTGTGTGTGTGTGTGTGTGTGTGTGTGTGTGTGTGTGTGTGTGTGTGTGTGTGTGTGTTTTGATGTTGCCAGGGACGCTGCCGGTATATCTTAAGATGATTTCGGGGCTTAACGTCCACGTGGACCAGTCCTCGACCAGGCCTCCTTTTTGTTACACCCCCAGGAAGCAGCCCGTAGTAGCTGTCTTAATTCCCCGGTACCTGTTTACCGCTAGGTGAACAGGAGCATCAGGATGAAAGGTTGAACAGAACCCAGAGTAACAGTCAATCAAATAAAATCGAGTCCAAGCGCAGTTAAAAGCTCTGTACCTCAGGGTACAGTCCTTGCACCGCTGCTGTTACTTATTCTCATATCAGATATAGACAAAAATACAAGTCACAGCTTCGTATCATCCTTTGCAGATGACACAAAAATCAGCATGAAAATTACCTCTGCTGAAGACATTGAAAAATTACAAGGAAATATTAATAATGTTTTTGACTGGGCAGCAGAAAATAACATGACGTTTAACAGTGATAAATTCCAGGTACTCAGGTACGGTAAAAATGAGGACCTTAAACATAATACAGGGTACAATACACAATCAAATCTGCCCATAGTAGGAAAGCAGAATGTCAAGGATTTGGGAATAATGATGATGTCCGACGACCTAACGTTTAGGGAGCATAACCAAGCAAATATCGCGTCAGCCAGAAAAATGATAGGATGGATTACGAGAACTTTCATATCCAGGGATCCCATCACAATGGTTGTACTCTTCAAGTCACTTGTGTTGTCCCGTCTTGAGTACTGCTCAGTACTCACTTTCCCCTTCAGAGCAGGAGAGATGGCTGAAATAGAGGAAATACAGTGAACACATACGGCACGCATAGACGCGATAAAGCACCTAAATTATTGGGATCGTCTCAAAGCTCTCCAAATGTACTCACTAGAAAGAAGACGAGAGAGATATCAAATAATATACACCTGGAAGATACTGGAGGGACAGGTCTCTAATCTACACAGTAAAATAACAACATACTGGAGTGAACAATATGGAAGAAAATGCAGAATAAAACCAGTGAAGAGCAGAGGTGCCATAGGCACAATCAGAGAACACTGTATAAACATCAGAGGTTCACGGTTGTTCAACGTCCTCCCAGCGAGCATAAGAAATATTGCCGGAACAACCGTGGACATCTTCAGGAGAAAAATAGACTGTTTCCTCCAAGGAGTGCCGGACCAGCCGGGCTGTGGTGGGTATGTGGGCCTGCGGGCCGCTCCAAGCAACAGCCCGGTGGACTAAACTCTCACAAGAAGTAGAACAACTCTCAGAACCCCATCAAGCAGGTATGAATGGTGGCAGTGGAAGGGTGGTTGGGATGGTTGGTGGCAGTGGTGGTGAAGGGACGTTGCTCACATACCACGAGTTCCGGCCTGTTGAAGTCCTGCCGCCCGTCCTTGGGGCGCCCACCCACCGTCCCGCCCGTCCTTGGGGCGCCCACCCACCGTCCCGCCCGTCCTTGGGGCGCCCACCCACCGTCCCGCCCGTCCTTGGGGCGCCCACCCACCGTCCCGCCCGTCCTTCAGGCGCCCACCCACCGCCCCGCCCGTCCTTGGGGCGCCCACCCACCGTCCCGCCCGTCCTTGGGGCGCCCACCCACCGTCCCGCCCGTCCTTGGGGCGCCCACCCACCGTCCCGCCCGTCCTTGGGGCGCCCACCCACCGTCCCGCCCGACCTTGGGGCGCCCACCCACCGTCCCGCCCGTCCTTCGGGCGCCCACCCACCGTCCCGCCCGTCCTTGGGGCGCTCACCCACCGCCCCGCCCGTCCTTCAGGCGCCCACCCACTGTCCCGCCCGCCCGCCCGCCCACAGAACTGCCACGTCAACTGTGTTATCAAGGCGGGGAGCCGTTGAGTAATGACCGTGTGGGAGGTTGTTGCCACAAACACCACCTTCAGTGCACGCCCAAGGCATCCGCCTGCCCGCCCACCCCCGCCGCCAACACCCACACCCCCACCCCCCACACCCCCACCCCCGGCCGCCCACCACCCCCCCCCATCCACTTAACCCATTCATAAGCTGCCACCAGTAGACGGCTCATATTATCATCATATTTTCTTTGTCATAACTTGAGGTCCTTTGATGCCATGGTTATGTCCATTGCGGTAGTTTAGCAGTTAGGGCCGACTGTCATCTTGTCCATCAGGCAGTTACCTGTATCTTATATACCGGGTCTTACCCAAATAAACATTCTGACTTGTGAATCGTCCGATCTTTGCCTGATCTTCTCCTGACGTAGGAGGTGGGGGGGGGGACGGAAGGGAGTCTTGCAAGGTGGTGGTGTTGTGTACCCTACACCTTCACGCACCACACAAATACATTAAACAAATACAACCACCTACACACAAGAGTTAAGGGAGACATGATTACTACCCACAAAATTCTTAGATGAATTGGCAGGGTGGAAAAAGATAAACCATTTAGCATGGGTGGAACACGAACCAGGGAGGGAAACCGTGTGGGAGGTTGTCGGTGGAAAGCGCCAGTTCATTACGACTATAGCTAGGAAGGGCTGTATAGCCCTATTTTGATGAGAAATATTGCCGGAACAACCGTGGACATCTTCAAGAGGACAAGGAGTGCCGGATCAGCCGGGCTGTGGTGGGAATGTGGGCCTGCGGGCCGCTCCAAGCAACAGCCTGGTGGACCAAGCTCTGACTAGTCAAGCCTGGCCTCGGGCCGTGCTTGGGGAGTAGAACAACTCCCAGAATCCCATCAACCTGGTAGCCCAATGTGATTATTTGTATTTGTAGTACATGGGTGAAGCGTTTACAGCTTTGTGGTTCGAACAAAAGTCGTCGGTGAAGCACTTGTTCCGGAAGTGTTCGAACGAAATCAGTTGAGAGTCGTGTGTAAACTGTTTTTCATTCATAAACAGCGGGTTTGGCGGGTGGATGGAATCACTTAGGGGTTTTTGTTTAGAGGACGGGATGACACTTCCAGAACAAGTGCTTCACTGACGACTTTTGTTCGAACCACAACGCTGTAAATGCTTCACCCACGTACTACAGATACAAATAATCACATTGGGCTACCTGGTTGATGGGATTCTGGGAGTTCTTCTCTCGTCTTCTTTCTAGCGAGTACATTTGGAGGGCTTTGAGGCGATCCCAATAATTTAAGTGCTTTATCTCGTGTATGCGTGCCGTATATGTTCTCTGTATTCTCTCTATTTCTGCAATCTCTCCTGCTCTGAAGGGGAAAGTGAGTACTGAGCAGTACTCAAGACGGGACAACACAAGTGATTTGAAGAGTACAACCATTGTGATGGGATCCCTGGATTTGAAAATTCTCGTAATCCATCCGATCATTTTTCTGGCTGACGCGATATTTGCTTGGTTATGCTCCCTAAACGTTAGGTCGTCGGACATCATTATTCCCAAATAATTTACATGCTTCTTTCCTACTATGGGCAGATTTGATTGTGTTTTGTACCATGTATTATGTTTAAGGTCCTCAGTATCAATGTAAAACATCATGTTATTTTCTGCTGCCCAGTCGAAAACTTTATCAATATCTGCTTGTAGTTCAATGTCTTCAGCAGAGGTAATTTTCGTGCTGATTTTTGTGTCATCTGCAAAGGATGATACGAAGCTGTGCCTTGTATTTGAGTCTATATCTGATATGAGAATAAGGAACAACAGTGGTGCAAGGGCTGTACCTTGAGGTACTGAGCTATTAACTGCGCTTGGACTCGATTATATATGGTTGACTGTTACTCTTTGTGTTCTGTTCGACATAAAACTGAGTATCCAGCGTCCTACTGTACCACTTATTCCCATTGACCGCATTTTGTGTGCTATCACTCCATGGTCACATTTGTCGAATGCCTTTGCGAAATCCGTGTATACCTCATCAGCATTGTTTTTCTTCTAATGTCTCTGTGATTTTGCTTCAAGTTCTCATTGTGGAGTTATCCCACCGGTGTCTGATATTTTGTTAAGTTTAGGATCCCAAAGAATGAGGTAGAAGAAAGAACGATGACTATATATTTCAGTGTTTGTTGAACAGAAAATTGAACATGGCGTGTGTAGTGGAGCGGGACACTGGCCTTGATGTGATGCTGGTGCCGTGTTCAACCTCTAGCACTGTTTAAGTATACTTTAGTCTAAATATACAGGGCTGGGCAACTCCAGGAAGTTAGTGGCGTGATTATACAACTTAGCTGCTCTTTGATTAGCAATTGTTGGTTGACTGTTGTTGTTGTAAACGACGGCTGGGGCGTGTTGTAGTGTAGCTGTGTTGTTGTGTGGCTGTGTTGTTGTGTAGCTGTGTTGTTGTTGTGTAGCTGTGTTGTTGTTGTGTAGCTGTGTTGTTGTGGTGTAGCTGTGTTGTTGTAGTGTAGCTGTGTTGTTGTGGTGTAGCTGTGTTGTTGTGGTGTAGCTGTGTTGTTGTGGTGTAGCTGTGTTGTTGTGGTGTAGCTGTGTTGTTGTAGTGTAGCTGTGTTGTTGTGTTGTGTGTTGTGTGTAGCTGTGTTGTTGTGGTGTAGCTGTGTTGTTGTGGTGTAGCTGTGTTGTTGTAGTGTAGCTGTGTTGTTGTGTAGCTGTGTTGTTGTGGTGTAGCTGTGTTGTTGTAGTGTAGCTGTGTTGTTGTGGTGTAGCTGTGTTGTTGTTGTGTAGCTGTGTTGTTGTGGTGTAGCTGTGTTGTTGTGGTGTAGCTGTGTTGTTGTGTAGCTGTGTTGTTGTGGTGTAGCTGTGTTGTTGTGTAGCTGTGTTGTTGTGGTGTAGCTGTGTTGTTGTTGTGTAGCTGTGTTGTTGTGGTGTAGCTGTGTTGTTGTGGTGTAGCTGTGTTGTTGTGGTGTAGCTGTGTTGTTGTGGTGTAGCTGTGTTGTTGTGGTGTAGCTGTGTTGTTGTTGTGTAGCTGTGTTGTTGTGGTGTAGCTGTGTTGTTGTTGTGTAGCTGTGTTGTTGTGGTGTAGCTGTGTTGTTGTGGTGTAGCTGTGTTGTTGTGGTGTAGCTGTGTTGTTGTGGTGTAGCTGTGTTGTTGTGGTGTAGCTGTGTTGTTGTGGTGTAGCTGTGTTGTTGTTGTGTAGCTGTGTTGTTGTGGTGTAGCTGTGTTGTTGTGGTGTAGCTGTGTTGTTGTTGTGTAGCTGTGTTGTTGTGGTGTAGCTGTGTTGTTGTGGTGTAGCTGTGTTGTTGTGGTGTAGCTGTGTTGTTGTGGTGTAGCTGTGTTGTTGTGGTGTAGCTGTGTTGTTGTGGTGTAGCTGTGTTGTTGTGGTGTAGCTGTGTTGTTGTGGTGTAGCTGTGTTGTTGTGGTGTAGCTGTGTTGTTGTGGTGTAGCTGTGTTGTTGTGGTGTAGCTGTGTTGTTGTGGTGTAGCTGTGTTGTTGTAGTGTAGCTGTGTTGTTGTGGTGTAGCTGTGTTGTTGTTGTGTAGCTGTGTTGTTGTGGTGTAGCTGTGTTGTTGTAGTGTAGCTGTGTTGTTGTAGTGTAGCTGTGTTGTTGTGGTGTAGCTGTGTTGTTGTGGTGTAGCTGTGTTGTTGTGGTGTAGCTGTGTTGTTGTTGTGTAGCTGTGTTGTTGTGGTGTAGCTGTGTTGTTGTGGTGTAGCTGTGTTGTTGTGGTGTAGCTGTGTTGTTGTGGTGTAGCTGTGTTGTTGTTGTGTAGCTGTGTTGTTGTTGTGTAGCTGTGTTGTTGTTGTGTAGCTGTGTTGTTGTTGTGTAGCTGTGTTGTTGTGGTGTAGCTGTGTTGTTGTGGTGTAGCTGTGTTGTTATGGTGTAGCTGTGTTGTTGTTGTGTAGCTGTGTTGTTGTGGTGTAGCTGTGTTGTTGTGGTGTAGCTGTGTTGTTGTGGTGTAGCTGTGTTGTTGTGTAGCTGTGTTGTTGTGGTGTAGCTGTGTTGTTGTTGTGTAGCTGTGTTGTTGTGTGGCTGTGTTGTTGTGGTGTAGCTGTGTTGTTGTTGTGTAGCTGTGTTGTTGTTGTGTAGCTGTGTTGTTGTGGTGTAGCTGTGTTGTTGTGGTGTAGCTGTGTTGTTGTGGTGTAGCTGTGTTGCTGTGTAGCTGTGTTGTTGTGGTGTAGCTGTGTTGTTGTTGTGTAGCTGTGTTGTTGTGTGGCTGTGTTGTTGTGGTGTAGCTGTGTTGTTGTTGTGTAGCTGTGTTGTTGTGGTGTAGCTGTGTTGTTGTGGTGTAGCTGTGTTGTTGTGGTGTAGCTGTGTTGTTGTGGTGTAGCTGTGTTGTTGTGGTGTAGCTGTGTTGTAGTGTAGCTGTGTTGTTGTTGTGTAGCTGTGTTGTTGTGGTGTAGCTGTGTTGTTGTAGTGTAGCTGTGTTGTTGTTGTGTAGCTGTGTTGTTGTGGTGTAGCTGTGTTGTTGTAGTGTAGCTGTGTTGTTGTTGTGTAGCTGTGTTGTTGTGGTGTAGCTGTGTTGTTGTTGTGTAGCTGTGTTGTTGTGGTGTAGCTGTGTTGTTGTGGTGTAGCTGTGTTGTTGTGGTGTAGCTGTGTTGTTGTAGTGTAGCTGTGTTGTTGTTGTGTAGCTGTGTTGTTGTGGTGTAGCTGTGTTGTTGTGGTGTAGCTGTGTTGTTGTAGTGTAGCTGTGTTGTTGTTGTGTAGCTGTGTTGTTGTGTAGCTGTGTTGTTGTTGTGTAGCTGTGTTGTTGTAGTGTAGCTGTGTTGTTGTGTAGCTGTGTTGTTGTGTTGTAGTGTAGCTGTGTTGTTGTGTAGCTGTGTTGTTGTGTGTAGCTGTGTTGTTGTGTAGCTGTGTTGTTGTGTGTAGCTGTGTTGTTGTTGTGTGTGTTGTTGTGTGTAGCTGTGTTGTTGTGTGTAGCTGTGTTGTTGTGTAGCTGTGTTGTTGTTGTGTAGCTGTGTTGTTGTGGTGTAGCTGTGTTGTTGTGGTGTAGCTGTGTTGTTGTGGTGTAGCTGTGTTGTTGTGGTGT